GGAAAGATTGGAAAAGTTATCCTCTACTCTTATTTTCTTAGTACATTACTTGAAGTTGCACATTAACAAAAAGAGGGTGAAAATCCACACCGACAAAGACAAGAAATGGAAAGAACAGTAAATCTAAGCCAGGAGGGAAAGGAAGAGACAAAGAGACCCAGGGCTGCCCTTCCTGTCCAGAAGGCAGTGAGCTCGAGCAAACAGGGCCTCTGGAAGCAGCTCCTGTGCATGGGTCAGTCGGTGGCAGAACGAGGAGGTTTCAGGTGAGAAATGCAGCACTTGGAATGTAGCTGAGAGGCAGTGAAGAAAATGCACAGAAGGAAAAGCTGTCAGAAACCTCCGGTGGAATGAACAGCCACCTGAGAAAGGAAATAATCAACACGCACCAGGAAAGCAGCTCTGCCCTGTCTCTTGCCGTGCAGACACTAGCACGCACACACCCCAACACACACACCAGCACATGCGCACACACATGCACACACGCCAACACATACATGCACACTCACCCCAACACACACACCAGCACATGCACGCACATGTGCACACCAACACACACACACACATGTGTATTTTCACTTTCAACCCTCTGAAAAGCACCGAGTGTGACCACAGTCACCAAGCACGACTGCATGGCATCAACAACGATGGGCACACTGGCAGGCAGAAGTGAACCAGGAAGGGAAGGAAGCTGGTAGGTGTTACTGTTCCCATGGTAAAAACGGTTGTCAGGTGAAACCACCGGGAGCTGATGGAGTGAGAAGCAAAGGAGGGAACTGTTAATTAAGGTAACGAGTTAGCAAAGAGAAGGATCCAAAAGCAGTGACTTCCTTATGCTGAAAGAAAGGGCAGATGCGAGTAGTTAGACACGTTAAAGGGGATTAGTGAGGAGACGAGGAAATCACCCTGAGAAGTCCTGAAGACACAGTAACACATCCAAGCGAGTGACACAGTGAAGCCGCCGCGGTGACGCCACGATGGCGGGCACCTGTCCAGACCAGAGAACGCACCCCAGCAGAGGGCCCCGCCGTACACCGTGGACTCTGGGCAAGGAGCAGCGCAGGATCCCCAGCTCTGGCGGGTGTCGGTGACGGCGGAGCGGACCACCGGTGGGGGCTACAGGAAATCTCTGCCCTTCCCTCTCTGTTTGCGTGACCCTCAAGCCACACTCAAAAACTTGGGAGTTACACGTGATTCTCTCCCCCTTCTAGGAAGGAGGAGCAAGACGCTGCCGCTTTCCACTATAATTCCTTCCACATCATCTGATTATGGCCAATGTTAATCTAAAACAGATGTGAAGACAGCTAAGATGAAGGTTTTCCAGTCTTCCTATTCAACAAGGAAACAAGTGTGCAGGGTTTTCTCCACCTAAAGAAAGGTCCTCATTAGCATTTCACAGTTTATACGGAAAGTACAAATACACAACTGAGTTTCTTGAAGAAATACTAGGAAGGCTTTCAATACCACCAACCCCATCACAGCATCCTGCCTCCTCACCCGCCCCAGCACCAACGGACTCAGAGCTGGGCAGACCCCGTGCACCCCAACCAGCTCGGAACCCTCGGGCAGTTACCATCTGCGGCTTTGGAGCTCTCAGTTTAAAGCAGACTGACCACAGACATACGGCCCACGGTTCTCCTTTCTTGTGGGACCGTGGCCGGCTTTGGTGCAAGAGTGATACTGGCCTCATAACGTGAGTTTGGAAGTGTGCTCTCTACTCCTCCCTTTGGGAAGAGTTTAAGGAGGATTGGTACTAATTCCTCTACAAATGTGGAGAAGAACTCAGATGTGAAGCCATCTGGTCATGGGCTTTTCTTTGTTGAGAGGTGCTGATCACTGTTGCACTCTCCTATGTTAGTGGTCCATTGTGGCTTCCTACTTCTTGACTCGGTCTTGACGGCTCTGCGTCTAGGAATGTATGCATCTCCGCCAGGATCCCGGCATGCTGGCATATAATTACTTGTGACAGTCTACACAGTCCTCTTCTTGCTGGGCATCCATGACAATGTCCCCTCCTTCAGCGGTGATTTTACTTATCTGAGTCTGCTCTCTTTCTTCCTGTTGCTCCATCTAACATGTCAACAGGAGACCCGCTCCTGTGGCGGTCTCATGGAACTCAGTGAGACACCACACGGCCTCTAGCACCACACCTGCGTGCTTGTTCAGGAAACATAGCCGAACCTCTATGATCTTTAATGATAAGAGCACAGCCGACCCTTTAAAAACACAGTGGTTAGGACACCAGAACCCTGTGCGGTCTAAAATTCACATATAATTTCTGACTCCCCCAAAATGCAACTCCTAATAGCCTACTTTTGGCCACAAGGATGTCTTACCGATCACATGAGCATTCCATTAACACATTCCGCAGGTTTTATAGATCATATGCTGTATTCTTACAACAAAGTAGGCTGGAGAAAAGAAAATATTATGAAAACCATAAGAGCAAACAGATTTAGTTTTGTAAAAAAAAATAACGTGAGTGTGAAAGGGTCAAATATATAAATTAGATAAGATCTTGCTGAACAGTTGAAAGTAGTGATGCTCAGAACTGACAGTAACTCTAGAAATCGTCTCTGTGGTTCTGCGCACTTGGAGGTGGGGCCCCCCAGCTAAGGCAGATGTGTGGGTCATCACGGCGGAGGGAAGGGGCAGGAGCAGAAGGAAGGGGAACTTAGTGCTAAAGTCAGCTCAGCAAAGCGGTCAGGGGACGCGTGGGAGTCAGGTGACCCGCAGGCAGGAGCACCAAGTGACTCGGCTCCTGGGGATGCTCCACACGACTTCACCACGACTCAGAGACACTGTGTGCATAGCACGCCACAGGAGGGAGCACACCTGTGATCAGGTGCAGCTGGGGCTCTCCCCCCAAAGACAAGGTCCCATGACGACAGATGTGGAGGAAGCAGACATGGTGTGAGAGGCGTGAAGAGAAGCTGAGCCAGCCCCAAGCTGCCTGCATGTGGACGCGGGTAACCAGACACACAGCACTTGGGGCGGCCATCTGAAGGTGAAGCCATAGAGACCAGAAACTGGGAAGAACCATGGAAGTACGTACTTTTGGAGAATTTCCAGAAAAACCTGCAAGTAATACTTCAGATGTGTCACATGAAAACTTGTGGCACCATCTAATTCAATAAATACATTCACGGTCTGTTTCAATCAGGAAAAATAAGACAGTCTCTCATAATGATTCCTGGATTGAAACAAACAAACAAAACAGTTGAAAGGTAACTTAAAAATGCTTTCGCATTAATATGGGAGACGCAGCACGAGCTGCTGAGTATCGTAATTTCTAGGGTTAAAGGACTCCCACTACGTGTGCACTCAGGGGCTCAGCAGGAGGCTCCGTGCTGAGGAACAGGGCAGAGCTCAGTCTAGCGCGCAGCCACAGGAAGGGAACCCAAATGTCCAGCAGACTCTGCTGTCACCCAGCCCCAACCCCCAGCGGGTCATCCAGGCTCCCCAGACCTCGGGATCCTCAGTTTCCTGCTGCTCTCCATGCACAGGTGCAGAAGAGAATGACATCATCGTCACTCCATCGATGAGATGACTGGCACTCACAGACAGTCACAGCCAAGTCCACTCAGCCAGGAGGTCAAGAAGTGGCAGAGCCACCCAGCCTCACGTGTTCTCCATCATGCCCCACAGACACCCCGCAACTGTGAAAACATACAGCTGAGGGCACACGCATTTGAGAACACCTGGAAGAAATGCTCTGATGGCTTTTAAATCCACCAGGAGAACAGACTCGGCCTCTGATAACATAGTGAATCTGACACAGAGTTTCTGGGGAAAGGCATCCAGCTTCCCACCACTTTCAACACTAGCTGGGGTTCTGCTAAAACATGACTCTAAAATGGGAAAATCAAAGACACACAGTCTCTAAATCAAAGACATCTGATCTTAGCTTCAATAGTGTAGGACTCTAAACTCCACCCGGCTCATGGACCACATATGTGGCCTGGGAGGCCAGCACCAGCTCCCAGTGGGCAGGCACAGCACAAGACACTGAAGGAGCACATTCCTGGGCCTCATCCCGAGTGGTGTTCTGGAATCTCCTGTCAGCCAGTAACACATGACTATAGCATCTCTTAAAACCCAGCAGGAAATAAATCAGTCTCATGGAACTACATCACTGTCAACACATAATGAGAATGATTATTTTTAAGAAAGCTCATTGTGGGGTACCCCCAATATTGTTTGTAACGCTAACTAGCCATTACATGATAATGGATTTATGGTTTAAGGTATCTTGTATAGGACATCTTCTGAAGGTTATAAGCTAAATACAGAAATGCTGAAAGGAACCAGAGAGTAAAGGAATGGCCAGAGTTGGAGGAGGGAAGCATAGACATTCCAGGATAAAAAGGGCTTCAGAGTTAGATAGGGAAGAGAAATGGACACAGATCGAGGGAGAAGTGTAGCACAAGAAACAGGTTGATACAGAATTTTCCAGATGGGTGATATGACTTGTGCAAAGGCCCAGTGGCAGGCAACAGTAAACTGTGAGCTGGAATCCCGCATGAGCAGTGTTTGCTCCATAAAGCTTCACGGGGAGTACCCCAGGAAAGAGGATATTTTGCAGCAAGCTTTGAAAGCCAGAAGGAAGAAATCTGGATTTGACAAAAGGCAACAGAAAGCAGCATGCAGAGAAGTGACATGATAAAAATGGCCTTAGAAAGATTATCCCAGCAGCTGTGTGTAGGATGGTTTCAAGCCGAGGGAGACTGGAGGCGGAGGCCTGCTAAGCGAATGTTCTACTAATTCAAGCATCGTGGGGGGGAGCGTCGTTGGGTGCGGAGCCTGGAGGAGGGAAAGAGCAATTCAAGCACCATGGGGGGTGTCGTTGGGTGCAGAGCCTGGAGGAGGGGAAGAGCACTCCTACAGGGCGGAGGAGCTCTGGGGCCACCCCCAGTTTCTCCACCTATAAAATGCCAGGCTTGACCAGACACTTCTCTTTGAGCACTCTGGGATCCCATAGATTCTAGATGATCCAAAAGACGATGGAGAAGATCGCCAGGTGAGCTGGATATGAACAGAGATCGGAGAGAAGGAAAAGGAAAAGCAAATCCCAAACCACACTTAAGCAATGAAACCTGGTTTTTGCAAACTAAAGTTCATGCATGTAGTATTCTCTTAAAATCCTCCTAAATATACAATTACATCTATATTACCTAAAAGTAGATTAGCAAACATTCCCAGGTAGCGGGTTAATGGTTCCAATCTCACTAGATCCTCAACACTGCCCAGAATGGCACCATCCGGCCCAGGCAGAAGCCTTGGGGAGCCCTTGATGCTCCCCATACAGCATTTCCTTGGGCCTGGAAGGCCATTACCTCCGCCCCAAACACTGCTCCTGATTCCTACTTGTTCTTCAGAACGGACCTGAAATGCCACCTGTGCCCCCACACTCCAGGCTGCCCGTCATCACAGGACCACAGCGGACTTGTGATTATAGTTGGGATTACACTTCTAGGAACTGGTGTTCATTTCCTTAATATTTATCTCCCTCCACAGACTCTTCCTCCAGCCAGGGCTGTCTTGTTTCCTGAGTATACACGACGCCACCTCCCATGAATGAACAAACAGTAACGTCCTCGCTTGTGTCCACCAGATGGGCACCAAAAGTACCTTCTGAAGGAGAGTGATCACCAGATACCTAGAAATTCACCCAAACTCACCCCGATTATTACCAGTTGCTAGGAAGGAGGCAACTTGGTCGACCTGACTCTCGTTTCCGGCTCAGTTCATGATCTCAGGGTAGTGCAGGGAGCCCCACATCAGGCTCCACACTCAGCATGGAGTCTGCTTGTGCCTTCCTCTCCACCCCTCTCTCTACACTCTCTCTCCCACCAAAAAAAATATTTTAAAAAACTGCTAGGAAGGCTTACCAGAGGAATGGAAAATGCATGCCTGGGGACAAGGCACGGGCGCCCTCCTAACATCCACTCTGTCTGCAGACATCCAACAGCTGTGTTTTCCTTCCTACGGGAATGGAGAATGCTAACCCCATAGGCCTTGCCTCTAACCTATGTTTACTCAGCCCTCCACGAAAGGCTTCGCACACAGAAGAAGAGTTGAGACATGCAGAAATCCATACTTCAAGTTTCTTAGGTGTGCGATCGCCGTCCTACTGGAAGTGTGATTCCCTACTGCTTAAGGAGATATTGGTCCCTTTGTTTAAGATACAGCAGAAGTTGTCAAAGTCCAGTGGAGCTGAATTCAGCAAACTCTAGAAGTGTTCCTAGATGGAGCTGGCAACTGGATAAGGCAGATACCACCAGGGCCCCACTGAGCCCAGGACAGGTTGGACGTATCATTCAGATATGGCTGGCTCCGGAATTCCCATGGGACAAGCCCAGCTTCTCTGGACACTTGCTCGCCCTCACTCAGGACCACTTCCTCTTGGCAGGAGTGATTAATGGCAGTGGCTCACTGGGGCACTGAGGCCTCCCCTGAGGAAAAGGGCTATAGGCAATGAAGGGAGTTACCAGGGCATCGCTTTCAACAGGGAACCAAAGACTATCCTGTCTTGTTTCCACAGCTCTGACTCTCAGGGACCTTGAAATGCCTGACCCGTCGCACTTACACAGACAGGGCCATTATCCCTAATTGTGGCCGACTGTAAACTTACCAAGCTTTCTCTTTGCATTTACTTTTAAATACTGCAAGGAAAATAATGATTATTTATCTCATTTTATTATGTTGGATCATCTTAGGGGACAGGCATCCTGTTTAAAAACTGGTAAATCTCCATCTAGTTCACTGATAAATTCTTTACTTGATATTTGAACAGATGAATAAAGAATTCAGAGAAGTTTCCGGACTTGAAAACTGACGGCACCTACTGTTATTTCTTCTACCTTCTCTCTGTGACCGCCTTCAATGTTAAAGGCTCCTACCTTACTCCTGCTTTCTCTGGGGTGGCCTCACCTAGAACTTCTCGCTTCTCACAGATTTGCCTGTGATTTCTGAAGACCTTCAGTGATACCTGCCATCTCACAGAAACTTTCAGTTTTTTATTCCTAGAAGGAAATGTTTACAGGCAAACTTATGATTTAAATAGACTTCCTTCTTCCCAGGGACTGATTGCCCCCATTTCCCTACAAAGCTTCAGTATAAATAAATTGTGGCCATATTAGCCCAGAAGGAACATTAAAGAACACTGAGTCTCAAATCCAATAATACATTAAAAGGATCATTCGCCACAATCAAGTGAGATTATTCTGGGGTTGCAAGGATGGTTCAATATTCTTGAATCCATCAGTATGATACAATACATTAATAAAGGATAAAAAAATCATATGACCATGGAGGACAAGGGGAGATGGAGAGGAGAAGGGAGTTGAGGGAAACTGGAAGGGGAGGTGAACCATGAGAGACTATGGACTCTGAAAAACAATCTGAGGGGTTTTGAAGGGGCGGGGGTGGGAGGTTGGGGGATCCAGGTGGTGGGTATTAGAGAGGGCACGGATTGCATGGAGCACTGGGTGTGGTGCAAAAACAATGAATACTGTTACGCTAAAAAGAAATTAAAAAAAAAATCATATGACCACCTCAATAGATGCAGGAAAAAAAAACTGACAAAATTCAACATCTGTTTACGATTTAAAAAAAAAAAAAAACTCAAAAAAATTGTTTAGAGAAAGCACATCTGAATGTAATAAAGGCCAAATATGAAAAACCCAGAGCCAACATCTTCCTCAATCATGAAAACTGTAAGATTCTCCTCTAAGATCAGGAACAAGACAAGGATTCCCGTTTCCACCACTTCCATCCAACACAATATGAGAAGTTCCAACCACAGCAATTAGACAAGAAAAATGAAATAAAAGGCATCCAAATGGTAAGGAAAAGTTAAATTATCACTATTTGCAGATGACATAATACTATATTTGAAAGCCCTAAACATTACACCGATAACTATGAGAAGTAATAAATGAATTCAGTAAAGCAGCAGGATACAAATTTAATGTACAGAAATCGGCTGCGTGTCTATACACTGATTATGAAGTAGCAGAAAGAGAAACCAATAGAACAATCTCCTTCACAACTGCACCACAAAATAAAATAAAATACCAGGAACGAACTTAACCAAGGAGGTAAAAGACCTTTGAAAACTATGAAGCAAGCAGTGATGAAAGAAACTGAGGACCATACATATGGAAGATATTCCCCCTCACAGATTGAAGAACCAATACTGTTAAAATGTCATACTGCCCAAAGCAATCTACAGAGTCAATGCAATCCCTATTGAAATACCCAAAGCATGGGACACTTGAATGGCTCAGTCGGTAAAGCATCTGCCTTTGGCTCAGGTCATGATCTCAGAGTCCTGGAATCGAGTCCCACATAGGGCTCCCTGCTTAGCAGGGAATCTGCCTCTTGCTCTGCCTGCCAATCTGCCTACTTGTGCTTGCGCTCTCTCGTGCTCTCTCTGTCAAATAAATACATAAAATCTTTAAAAAATAAAATACCAAAATCATTTTTTCACAGAACTAGAATCAATAATACTAAAATTTGTATGGAACCACAAAACACCACAAATACCCAAAGCCAGGCTGAGAAGGTAAAACAAAAAGAAAATAATCCCATATTTCAAGAAATACTACAAAGCTGTAGTTATCAAGACAGCATGGTACTGGCACAAAAAATAGTAACACAAATCAATAGAACAGAACAGAGAACCCGGAAACAGACCCAAGCTTACAAGGCCAAGTAATTTATTACAAAGGGGGCAAGAATACACAATGGGGAAAAGCCTCCCTGTTCAACACGGTGTAGGGAAACTGGACGGTATATAAAGGGGAAAAAAACCGGACCACTTTCTGACACCACACACAAACTCAAAATGGATTAAAGACCTAAATGTGAGACCTGAAACCATAATGCTCCTGAAAGAGAGGACAGGCAGGAATTTCTTTGACATCAACTATAGAAATATTTTTCTAGATAAGTCTCCTTTGGCATGGGAAACAAAAACAACCTTCAGTGACTGGGACTACACCCAGATAAAGCGCCTGCACAGCAACGGAAACCAGCAATAAAAAGGAACCCACTGAACAGGAGAAGATATTTGCAAATGAAACATGTGGCAAGGGGTTAATATTTATAATATATAAGGAACTCCTACAACTCAACACCCAAAAATAATAATAGTAATCCAAATTAAAATGGGCAGAGAACCTAAAGGATTATTCTTCCAAAGAAGACAATCGATGGCCAACAGACATTATAAAAAAGACAACCAACATCACTAATTATCAGGGAAAAACAAATCAAAACCACAATGAGAAATAACCTCATACCTGTCAGGATGGCTGAAATAAAAAATACAAGAAACAACAGGTGTTGGCAAGAAAGGGGAGCCTCCTCTACACGGCTGGTGGGAATGCAAGCTGGTGTGGCCGCTCTTGAAAACAGTGTGGAAAGTTCCTCAAAATTGAAAATGGAGCTACCGTATGATAATTCCTTTACTTGGTATTTACTCAAAGAAAACAAAAACAACAATTTAAAAAGATACACAACCCCTCAGTTTATAGCAGCATTATTTACAATGGCCAAGATATGGAAGCGGCCCAAGTGTCCATCAACAGACGAACGGATAAAGAAGGCGTAACACACACACACACACACAACAGATAAAGAAGGCATCACACACACACACACGAATATAAAAAATGGAATATTACTCAGCCAATAAAAAAATGAAATCTTTGCCATTTGCAACAACATGGATGGACCCAAAGGGTATTATGCTAGTGAAACAAGTCAGAGAAAGACAACTATCATAAAATTTTATACATATAAGGAATCTTAAAAAAAAAAGAGTCAAACAAAAAGCAGACTTACCCCATAAATACAGAGAAGAAACAGGTGGTTGTAGGAGGGCAGGTGGTTGGGGGCCTGGGCAAAGTGGGGAGAGGGGAGTGGGATGTACAGATATCCGGGTATGGCATGAAGGTCAGGGGATGAAAGGCACAGCACAGGGAAGACAGTGACACTGTAACAGCACTGTGT